CCAAACCCAAACCCAAACCCAAACCCAAACCCAAACCCAAACCCAAACCCAAACCCAAACCCAAACCCAAACCCAAACCCAAACCCAAACCCAAACCCAAACCCAAACCCAAACCCAAACCCAAACCCAAACCCAAACCCAAACCCAAACCCAAACCCAAACCCAAACCCAAACCCAAACCCAAACCCAAACCCAAACCCAAACCCAAACCCAAACCCAAACCCAAACCCAAACCCAAACCCAAACCCAAACCCAAACCCAAACCCAAACCCAAACCCAAACCCAAACCCAAACCCAAACCCAAACCCAAACCCAAACCCAAACCCAAACCCAAACCCAAACCCAAACCCAAACCCAAACCCAAACCCAAACCCAAACCCAAACCCAAACCCAAACCCAAACCCAAACCCAAACCCAAACCCAAACCCAAACCCAAACCCAAACCCAAACCCAAACCCAAACCCAAACCCAAACCCAAACCCAAACCCAAACCCAAACCCAAACCCAAACCCAAACCCAAACCCAAACCCAAACCCAAACCCAAACCCAAACCCAAACCCAAACCCAAACCCAAACCCAAACCCAAACCCAAACCCAAACCCAAACCCAAACCCAAACCCAAACCCAAACCCAAACCCAAACCCAAACCCAAACCCAAACCCAAACCCAAACCCAAACCCAAACCCAAACCCAAACCCAAACCCAAACCCAAACCCAAACCCAAACCCAAACCCAAACCCAAACCCAAACCCAAACCCAAACCCAAACCCAAACCCAAACCCAAACCCAAACCCAAACCCAAACCCAAACCCAAACCCAAACCCAAACCCAAACCCAAACCCAAACCCAAACCCAAACCCAAACCCAAACCCAAACCCAAACCCAAACCCAAACCCAAACCCAAACCCAAACCCAAACCCAAACCCAAACCCAAACCCAAACCCAAACCCAAACCCAAACCCAAACCCAAACCCAAACCCAAACCCAAACCCAAACCCAAACCCAAACCCAAACCCAAACCCAAACCCAAACCCAAACCCAAACCCAAACCCAAACCCAAACCCAAACCCAAACCCAAACCCAAACCCAAACCCAAACCCAAACCCAAACCCAAACCCAAACCCAAACCCAAACCCAAACCCAAACCCAAACCCAAACCCAAACCCAAACCCAAACCCAAACCCAAACCCAAACCCAAACCCAAACCCAAACCCAAACCCAAACCCAAACCCAAACCCAAACCCAAACCCAAACCCAAACCCAAACCCAAACCCAAACCCAAACCCAAACCCAAACCCAAACCCAAACCCAAACCCAAACCCAAACCCAAACCCAAACCCAAACCCAAACCCAAACCCAAACCCAAACCCAAACCCAAACCCAAACCCAAACCCAAACCCAAACCCAAACCCAAACCCAAACCCAAACCCAAACCCAAACCCAAACCCAAACCCAAACCCAAACCCAAACCCAAACCCAAACCCAAACCCAAAGAGGATGATGATCAAGAGAATGTATTTCAAGAAGTCATTTCTCAACAACAACAACAACAACAACCACTACACCCTTCTCTTGCTGCTCACCAACAGCCTCAACCAAACAATCATGCTTGGTTTATGCCACCTCTGACTCATGTATTTCATCACAATCATCACCAGGAAAGAACAACAAAACAACGACCGGCGAGTGTGAAACAATTTTTCGAAAAGAAATGTTTTATTGAGTGGAAAGATATAACTTTTCCGATGAATTCTCCTCATCCCATTTTGAAAAAAGTTTCTGGATTTGCAGTTCCTGGTAAAATCACTGCTATTTGTGGACCGACAGGTAATTATTAGTTTAGGGTTTCTTTTCGTCTCAAAACTCATTGACTCTGCATTTATCATCAATTCACTCAAAACAATGAATCAATTTTATTGTTACAATATGAATAATTATTATTGATTTCTTGGTTCATGGGATGTAATTTTTATTCCATCATCATGAATTTCGGATGAATAATTCATTTAAAACTTTTGATATATTTCTTGAACGCTGAGTTGAACCTTCTTTTGAAACAAAATCATTCGATCAGCGAGTGGAAAGTCGACACTTCTTCGAATTTTATCCAACCGAGGTTTACACAAACATTACAGTGGAGACATTTTAATCAATGGACAAATTTGCATGAAGGTTTCCAAAATTGTAAATGGATCGAGATGTGTCTACCAAGTACAAATCATTGGTGTCTTTTGTCTCGAAAGATTTTTCACCGTCCAACATGCCACTCATATTGGACAATAGGAGATGATAATGCTTTCCAACCCTCGGTCATGAATGAAATTATTTGCTCGTCGTTCTTGAATGAAGTGTTTGATGTTGAAGAATCAGAATTCTGTGCAACAATAATATCGCCATCTTTTTGAGAGTCGTTGATGTTTGATGTGATACCGTGCTGACTTTTGGAAGGAATATGAACAAACGAGTCGAGTGTAGTCTGACCAATTGCTCTCCTTTTTGCAGAACTAGGTTCAGGACTGGTTGGTGTTTTTCGTTTGTCCATCACACGTTTTTTTTTCTAAATTTTTAACGGCTAACTTGAGTGGTTGTTCCTTAATGCTGACAATAAGGGATAACTAGAATTTAGCGGGAGGGATAACTTTACGGTTTTTGAGGTGCTCCTCTGTGTTCAAATTATCAATAATCGCAGTATTAAATAGATTCTTCTGTAAAAGTTTATACAAACAGGACAGAGTGACATTAAATCATTTGAATCTGGATTCAGAATTAAATATTTTCCTCCTTCAGAATAATCTTTAGTAAAACCTTCACCTTTCTTTGTTGTGATTTGTTGATATTTTACATGTATATGTGCCACGAGAGGTATTAGTTTCTCATTCTTAGTTAATGTTGCTAGAAACTCCTGTTTCTCAGTCGTCCACCAGGTCCTACAGTTTCCAATTACTTCTGGGCCAAATTTTGCTTTGTAGAAATTATTCGCATTCACACACTTGACGCCGTTTCTAATCTGGTCTAAAAATGTTTTTCTCTGGCAATTATGTAATTTGTTGCTCACAATAATACCGTAAGGTTGCTCTGAAAAGTTTAAACAAATACCATCAGCATGACAATTCAAAGAGGGATAAAAATATACCCCATCAATAAGGTCTTTAAATGTAATGGTATTGTTAGTAGAACTCTCTTCTATATGTTTGTTATAGTTCAACAAACAATGAAAGTATAAAATATCTCCCAACATATTGCTGTCAATATTGTCAGTGTTTGTGAGGACTTCTTGGGCCCATTTTGATGTGTAATGCTTGCGATAAAAATCTTTAGTTCGAATAAATGATTTGATCACAAATTTGTGGTCAAGTAATAGAGTATATGGTCTTTTCTT